CATGGCAAAATTTGCACAGTGGAGGTTACTGATCAGCTAGGAGACTATGGCTGGGGGGGGAGGACAGCCATAGGGATGGAGCCACAAGAACTTAAGGATATGAAGTGAGGTCTGAAGGATTCGGAATGCCTTTGAACAGACAAGCTGGTACAGCTGGTGGGAGAAAACACCATGCCACAACCAGACAAGCCCAAGCTTTAGACTGGATGTTAGGGCAAATTACTGAAAGAGTGGTCAAGCATTGCAACAGGCTGCCCAGGGAAGTGGTGGAGTCACCATCCCCGAAGGTGTTAAAAAAACAGACAGACATGGCACTTTGGAACATGGTTTAGTGGGCACGGAGGTGTTGGGTTGACAGTTGGACTTTATTTTAGAGGTATTTTCCGACATCAGCGATCCTATGATTCTGTGATTCTTTGAGCTGGTGCACCTTTCTGCCTGGCGACTTTTTCCAGCTGCATCACTTGGTCTAATTAAAGACACAACAGCTCCCTGCAACCCTTGTCTCTTCCTTCAGCCACTCCTTCCCAGGGCAAGAAATCTAGGCCATTCTGATGCTCTCACTGTGGAACCTGACAGCCTGCTGAAATAAAGATTTTGACCTTAACATGTGAAGTACTTAACATCCTGTGCACAGGGCAAAGAAAGCTTGTTGTCCTTCAGGACCAAGAGCTTAAAGCTGTCACACTGCTACCATCAGGGCAGATGGTGCTTGGATGCCTGCAGGACCCACAGGAGTCTTTGGGCATCTCCACTGGCCAGCAGGAGTGAGGAAGCCACAGCCCTTCCAATGCTGGTGTTGGTGGGATGGCACGAGTGACCATGCAGGAAAAAAATCTCAGTGACAACTCTGGCCATCAGAAAGGGGATGCCTGAGCAGGTGGGAGCAGAAGCACATCCTGCACTCTGTGCCAAAAGCCTTTGGACTGTGTTTCATGGATACAGCTGCCCAGGTCTCCTCACAGGGTCCACATCCCACAGAGCAGCTCTACTAGCATCCCTTGGTGTCTCAGCCAGGAGCAGGAGCACCATGGGTCCTGCTCCCACCACAGGTCCTGGAGCACCATGGGGCACATCATGCTTCTTCTGCCTGACCTTTGCTGGCAGCTCAGAGGAGGTCACCATGTCCTGACAGCTCTGAGCAGCTGGGACCAAAGCCGCCCAGCCAGCCCAGGCTGGAAGGAAGGAAGGAAGTTATAGCAGGCTTTTAAATAGCACTATGGAATACCTGAAACTTCTATTTCTGTGCAAGGATAATATGGTTTCCATATTCTTCTCCATGCACTGCAGGCCAAGCAATTTGTGCTCAAACTCAATTAGCATCAAGCCATGTTCTCCACCAGTTAAACCAGCCTCCCTGTAGCCACCATGCAGGACAACTACAAGCTGTACATTTCACCTAATGAAGAAACATATAGATTTCCTTCCATGTTTGCTTCTCACTTCTATTTTATCTCTGTAATCAAGCAACATCTTTAAATATACTATGGACTTCAGGAGGTCTCCCAGTGGCCTGTACCACACGTAGTCACCACATCTCCAGTCTGTTACGAGACACCAGTGCAGCTTTCTGAAAGATGTCTCTCATCTGACGTGGCCAATGTGGTTATATCCATGCTTAAGCAGGTATCCAAAGAGCCAGAAGCAGGAGCCCCCACAGGGCCTTCTGAGGGTCATACATGGCTGTGCACAGCAGAGCCACTTCAGGTGTGCAGCCCCAATGAGGTCTCTGCTGTCACTATCAAATATGCCTTCACACTTGTAAAAAATACAACGTAGGACTCCTTCAAAATAAACATACTTGCTTCTCCATGTCAATTAACTAGTTACATAGAATTATTTTTCTTCCTTGATGTTTTCCCATCTCATCTGTCACACAGCACACTTCTCACCTGGAGTCCACCTGGCACGAAACAACCTGGACACCTCTGTTGAGAGAGGAGCTTTCCTCCATGCCTGGCCCACACACCCAAAGGCTCATAAGCCCAGCTCCACCAACCCGTGAGGATTTCAGGCTCCCATCTCCCTTTGGACCCTCTTCTGATCTCAGTTGTTGGTAATTATATTCCCAAGAACAGTGCCCATCTACTAAGGAATGCAACAGGGCTGCCACCTCCTTCTGAACTAGAGGTTTTCCCACCTCTCCAACAAGGCTGGGGCAAGTGACAGGCCCTGCAAACACAAAAAAACTCAATTCTCACCAGGACCTGCTCTTTAAGTCAACCCAGACACATGGTCCAGCACATTGATTAGGACCAGTATTGCTGAAGTCATGGTGACACCCTTATCCAGCCAGAGGATTTCACCCATATTTCATTGAAGTTGACCACACCACACCTTACAGCCAGCTCCTACCCCCCCATTTAGGCTGTGCACCCCTGTCAACCCCACAGTGACTTGTGAACCACCAGTGCCACATCCCCAACATCAACAAGGATGCTGGTGGGGCACCTACAAGCAGAGAGTCACCACTTCCAAGTCAGCAAACACCTGGAAAACGTACCAGAAGCCACCTCAGCCCCAGCTTGGGAGGGAATCAAGCCCAAATGAATTAAACAAACAATGGGACTTAGACAGTAAAGAGTAACAGAAGGTTAGATGATGATGACACTGCCTTTCAGAAGAACTTGGTGTGATTCCACTGCCAAGCAAGAGACAAAACACCAGCCTGCAGGACAGGTGCTCAACTGGAGTAATTTTAAAACTACAGGTGGTTTTGTGAAGAAGACAACCTTAATACTGGAGACTAAAAGCTACTTCCCAAGAGCTCTTGGCTGCAAAGCTCTGCTACCCTTCCCTCCACCACTTCCTGCTCCAAGGGATGCATGGAGATGTCCATCCCATGGGAAAGCGTGGCAAGAAAGAACTCAAAGGATCCAGGCTTTTGCTATCCAGAGTTAGACGCCCTGGAGGCACAGCTCTTTTTTTGGAAGACACCTCAGGGAAAGCACAGGCAGCTCCACAAATGCTCCAAGAGACAGGCAGGAGGCGGGATGCCAAGCTCTGCTCACAGGAGAAATCCCTGTGCCAAGCAAGGTCAATGGGATTACAGGGGCAAGCAGGGATTGCCTGCACGAGTAGAGATGGGAAGGGCCCAGGCCCTGGTTCCCACCCTGGTTTACACGGAGCCAATGGCACCACCACACGAGACTTGGCATCTGGGAAGACTTCAAAATGTTGCTTTCCTTTATAATCTGCCTTTTCTGTGGGCAGGAGGTAAATCAGCCCCCTCCCCAAAATGGTATTAACCAACCCACAGGGACTCAACTACCACCAAAAAAAAAAAAAAATAATAAAATCATCATTATTAAAATTGGAATGAAAAATTGCAACGCTGGCAATAGAAACTAGAATTAAAAAAGAGATGGCAGGGGGAATTGCAGGAAGGCTGTGCCACAGGAGGCTGCACATTCATCCCGGAGCAGCTGAGCTTGGATCACACCCCCTCCCCATCCACATCCCCATCCCCCCCGGGGCCTCCCCCCCCAAAGGGATGAGGTTGGGCCCTTCAGCTGTTTATAAAAGCAGCAGCAGCAGCATCTCGCCCAGCCGCACTCGGCAGCATCCCTGCCTCTCATTCCTGCGAGCTATATAAGGGAATTCCAATCCCAATTCCAAGCTGGCTCTCCCCCCCCACCCCATCCCCTCCTGCACCAGGAGCAGCCCCCGGGGCTCGGTTTCCTGCAGGAGGATTTGAAACCCGTCCGGGGCAGAACACGGGGCTGGTCCTTGTCATCAAATGGCGGCGCGGGCAGCTGCCAAATCCTGCCGGGCTCGGTGCTCTCTAATAGGGAACAGCTGGGAAGAGGACCCTGCAATTCCTCCCTCCCCGGGAACACTGGGGGGGGGGGTTCTGTTTGGGATCCAGCGGCCACCGCTCCCAACGGGGCACATCCCAAAAAACAAAGCTCCCGGGATGTGATACAACAGGGATGCTCTGCAAGGGGGGGGATGGGGGAAGCTGCTTCGCCTTTTCCCCCCCCCCCCATGATTTTTAATTTATTTTGAGGGAACACAGAACGACGCAACTCCCAGCCTCATTTTCCCCTTCCCTACCCTCACCCAGCATTCCAGAAACTCAAGACTGAAAGCAACTCCCTGCATCCCAGCTCGGGAACAGCCGCGTTCCCACCGCGCATCAACGCCCGGACTTATTTGCACATCCCGCTGCTCCCAACTCCCATTTTACTCCCTCGGAGTCACGAGCAACTCGGAACGGGTGCAGAAACAACTCCGGGACGGGTTTTTCGCAGCCCCCTGCACATTTTTTTCCTGCATCCTGGACTTTTCAGGGGACATAAAAACCCACCCTACTCCTATTTTCTTTAGGAAAAACACAAGGGGGGCATTCAGAGCCGCAGGGCGGGGGGGGGAGAAAAATGCGTCCAAACAGGATCTGAATGATGAAATAGGAATTGCCACATTATTTTGAAAAAAAAAGGATAAACCAGCTTGCCCAGACCTTTAAAATTAAAAGAGTTTAAGGTCGAGACGGGCTCCTTGTGCGTTGTTGCAGAAAGCAAAGCAAGCCACGTTGTCCAAAAAAGAAGCCCTAGAAAATCCAGACTCTACGTGACCTGACTTACTTATTGCACAGGAAACTGCATGGAAGGAGGAAGGGGAGGGAGAAGGGTGGAAAAAAAAACAACAAAAAACCACCCAACACACACACACAACACACACAACACACACACACACACAACACACCAACCAACACAAAACCCGGGCGACAACACCACCCATCATTCCCGCTGCCGCCGCAGACAAGTTTGCTGCGGGGAAAAAAAAACAGTTAAAAAATAGGAATAATGATTAAAAAAAACCACCGAACAAAAAAAGAACAGAAAAAAATAGAGAGGGGCGATGGAACCTGGGGGGGGGGGTGGTTGGGGTTTTGTTTTTTGAATTTTGCCTGCATTAGAGCATCAAGGGGGGGATGGATATAAATATATATAGATATGTAGATATGTATGTAGGAAAGGAATAAACCAGGCACTCACCGGGGTTGTTGGCTTCCCCTTCGAGGATGTGGAGCTCGGTGCAGTCCGCCAGGGAATGCTCCAGGCAGAGCTGGAGGAAACGAGCCTGGGTCCGGCTGAGGCGTTTGAGCAAGGAGAGCAACGCAACAGTCTGTTCGCACTCGTTCCAGCCCTTGAACCAGCCGGCCAGCACGCCGACCTGGTCTCGAAACATCATGGTGAGACCCCCCTGCTGCGGTTCT